TAACAACTACTTCACAAAATTCCTGAAAGTTTAAACAATAGACTCTCACAAGCTGGCCTGAGCTCATTCCAACTCAGTGGGCATAAGGGTTTTGTTTGCTGTGTAAGAAGGTATATAATCCCTCTTCACTAGGTTAGCCAGTCTCCTTGGCTGGGAGTTGAAACCCCTGATGCCTAAAAGTTCTCATAAATCATTTTTTTTGCAGTTTGCTGAAAGTCATTTTGTCTCATTATTAATTACACAGGATCGCCACCTAGTGACAGAAAGGGAATTGGGTTTTTGAGACTGTTGGGGCCTAACAGAGCTGGGAAAATGGCTATTCTGGTGGACTGTGTCCTACACTAGAATTTGGAGGTTTCCAGCTTGGTGAACTGTGGACTGTCACTGCTTCATCAGCAGACTTCCTGTATACATCTTACAGTAGAACGCTCTCTGTAAAGTTTTGTTAGAATTAGAAAAAGGATTGGGACCATTGCTTGAATTGTCTCATGTTTTACAGATGGAGACCCTAAGCCCTGAAAGAGGTGAAGTGACTAGAACATGTGCCAGCCCATGGTAGAGCCAGGCCTCAAACTTGGCACACTGACTGGTAGTCAATGTCCCCCTCCTGCTTTACTCTGTCACCCTATCAGAGCCTATAGTTTGAGCCACACTGTGTTCCCAGGGCTGGGGACCACAGTGGTGAGCACAGAAAGTTTCAGGCCCTGTCCCATGGTGCATACTGTCTTCTCAGGGAGTTAGCCTCATAGTTACACAAGTCACTATTTAGTCAGACCCCTACTCTGAAGGACACATGGGCTATGAGCAGAAATGGTAAGGCATTTGTCTGGATGTGAGAAAGTGGTGATGGAAATGAGCTCTGGGGCCTGAGCAGGAATTGGCCATGCTGCTTGGGGCTTGGGGGACAGGCCATGGGAGCCTGACCAGATCTGTGAGCCAGAGCAGTCAATGTGGCTGGAGCTCAAGGAGTCTTATGCATATCCTACTGCATTGACCTGTGTAATCCCAAGAACCTCCATTAGTTATTTCACAGGAGTGTCATGAGAGTTAAATGAAGGAGCATCTATGAAAATGCCTGCTGCAGAGCAAGCCCAGCTAAGGCAAGTTTGCCTGTACTTCAGACAGCTAAGACCCGGGAGACATCCCATGTACTGACACTCATAAGAGTGCAGACAGGTGTGAGAATGAGGCACGACGGTCATGGGAAGGAGATTCATGCTCTGACTCTAGATCACTTTGGGAACGTGCTATCCTCTTGGAGCACTTTGCATCTCTTCTTAGTTACAGGGAAGAGCCAGACCAGGCTGACCTCAGTGTTGCCTTAAAGTAGCCATTAATGCAACAGGCAGAGCTCTTCTCCACCTCCACCCACCCATCCACTCCTTCTCCAAATCTGTTTACCCTCTGCTACCCAGAAAACACCTTGTCTCAAAACTGTCCTGATCTTTCCCATCTCCAGCTGTAAAGTGCTGTGAACTCCATTCAATCAAGAGCTTAATGGCCTTGTGTTTCCAGCACGGTAGCATTTGTTTGGGGCCTAGAACAATCAAACCAGCTGTTTCCATGGGTCTACACAGGAACCCCAATTCCAGATAATACTTTTCCACTTTGACCAATAGCCATTTATCCTGAGGAAGTGGCCAAGTGATGCCTTGGGATCAAAGTTCATGCAGGGGCTTTGGGCAGTCAGGTGTTTGAATGATCCTCCCCACCTTCACTCTGACCTGTGCCTAGGACACTCCCCAGCAGCTGCCTGACATACAAGCCAGCAGGGACACTACAGGGCTTAATGATGCATTGCACAACCCAAAGAGGCCCATTCTATTTACTTTTTTTAAAAAAGCAACTTCATGTGAGATGTGATTTATATACCATAAAATGAACCCATTTAAAATGTTCAGTTCAACAGTTTTCAGTACATTTGGAGAATTGTGCAAACCTCCCCTATTTACTTTTAAAAAAAAAAAAAAAAAAAAAACTTCATTCAGATATCATTTATATACCACAAAATTAACCTGTTTAAAATGTATAGTTCAACATTTTTTCAGTATATTCAGAGTTGTGCAAACATCATCATAAGTTAACTTAAAAACATTTTCATCACACCCCCAAAACACCATTCCCATATCCACTACCCCAGCCCTATGCAGTTACTAGTCTATTTTCTATCAATCTAGACTAGCCTGTTATGGACATTTCACATAAATAGAATCGTACTGTTGTTAAATTTATTTCTAAGTGTTCTTTTTTGATGTGGGATTGTTTTCTCAATTTCATTTTTGGATTTCTTGCTGTGCATAGAGATATAGCTGAGTTTTATATGTGGATTTTATATTGTATAAAAAAATCTAGCATCTTAATAATTCACTTATTCTAATAGTTTTTTAGTTTATTCCTTAAAATTGTTTCCATGCAAGATAATCTCATCTGCAAGTAAAGGTATTTCCACTATTTTCCCAGTCTGGATGCCTTTTAATTTTTGTGCCTAAAAGCCCTGGCCAGAGTTTCTAGTATGGTACTGAACAGGAATGGTAATCACTGACATCCTTGTTTGTTCCTGATCTTGGGCATGAAATATTGCCTTTCAAGGTAAATAGGATGCAAGCTAGGGGTGTGGAGACAAGGAGTTCTACCCTCAGCTGGGGCTAATGAAGAAATGTAGGAAGGCACCAGTGTGGCACAATGTGCAGCTGGGATGTGAGCTGGGGACATACCTGGCAGAGACTTTGTAGGTGCCATAAAGGGTTTTGGTCTTTTTCCTAAGAGCAGAGAGAAGCTGTTAGAAAGATTTTCAGGGGGAGATGGAGTGAACTAATTAAAACTGAGCTAAGGTGATGGTCAGATTTAAGGTGATACTTAAGTCTCAGAAAGGAATTATCTGGCAGAAAAGACATGAAGGAGGAAGAAGAGAGAGGACTTGGTCAGAGCAGGAGGCAGACAGAGCAGGGATTGGTGGTAGTGATGCCACATGGATGCCCATGTAGATAGTCTTCTCTCAGGGATTCACTCATTTTATCTTCCCTCTAAATAGTCTCACTCCCTCCCCCAGTAGGCAACTATACCTAAGTTCTAACACTATTGAACTCCAGAGGCCTCTGTTATCTACACCAACTCATTCCCCCGCTGACATACAAGAGGCCACATATCTCTCTGAGGACAACAGGTGTATACAAAAACATGTATGTGTGCGTTGAGCGTATGCACTTCCAACTATGCTCTACTGCTGAGCTGCAAGCTTCCTCCCCCGCCCCAGGGGTGTTCTGGTGCACAGCCCACTCCCTTGCATTCCTTGCTGCTGGGAAGTCAGATGACTTCTGATATCCAGGCTAATGGCTCTTATTAACCAAATGCTGACACATCCCCAATATATAGGGTGCTTCATCAAAAGCCTGCCTGCTTGGCCAACTTTCAGAGCCGCCAGCACTTCTCGAACAGAGAATGGGGATTTCCAATGGACACTAGGTAGGAAGTGAAGTCATGCTAATGATTTATAAGATGCCTTTCCTCTGCCATCAGAGAAAAGTGCTTTGTGTATGTTGGCCTGAGAGAAATGGAGCCAGAATAGCTTCAGGATTTGTTCCTTCCTACTCAGGGTATGGAAAGAACCATCTAAGGAGCCCCACCCCTGCTAGGGCTGCCAGTCAGTCCCCTCTCTCCCAATGAACATCTGTCAGTACAGGACTTTAGCAAGGACATTGTGCTGTGGCCTTCAAGAGCCAGCCCAAAACTGAATGTGATATTCATTTCAGAATTTAAGGGCTGGAAAGACCCTTTTCCTCCCTCCTCCTGTTATGTAGGTATTAACAGACATGACAGACCTAAGAGCCATTCCCAGACTTTGAGTTTCTACTCAACACTTTTTAGAAGAAATTTTAAGTTTCTTTTATAGCAAGTGAATATATAGGCTTTACCCTGATTTGTTTTTAAGCCAAGTGGGGGGGATGATTCTTGTTTCCCTATCAAAAATGCTTTTTATAAACATTTATTGTTTCAGATACAAGTTTAAAGAGATCGCTAAAATGGAACAAGTTATAGTTACATGCCTTGGGACACTATGAATGGTGACTTGAATAGCACAGTGTATAGATAAAGAAGAAATTCAAAGCTCAAGGATCTTGGTTAGTGTTAAAACACTGGACATATTTTTGACAACCATTATGGGGGATTGGTCCTGGCATCCCGTAGGTAGAGGTCAGGGAAGAGGCCAGGGATGCTGCTAAACCCCCTTCAGTGCAAAGAAAGTGCATGCACACACATACCCCACACAACAAAGAATTATCCAGTCCCAAACATCACTAATGCTGATATTAAGAAATTGGATATACTCCTATATGAGAATATTCACAGAAATATTTATTCATAATAGTGAAAACTGGAACTATTCCAAATGACCTTCAGCACAAGACTGGATGAGTAAGTTGTGGCATGTTCATGCAATTGATAGTGTAAAGCAGCAAAGGTGAGTGAACTACAACTACATTCAACAGGGCACATCTGAAAAACATACAATGATTCCTTTTATACAGCCACAAAAACAGCAGACAGGATATTGTTCAAGGATATTTGCATGTGTGGTAAAACAGTAAAGACAAGCAGGAGAATTACTGATAGAAAATGTAGAGTTAATTCTGGAAGGGAATGCAGTTAAAAAGAAGTACCCACATGCTTCTGTGGCACTGGAAAATGTTATGTTTCCAAAGTTGGGGAAGAAGGAATAGATATGTGACTTCATTATTTAAATGTTTAGATGTCTTTTCCACATTTCTTTCTATGCTGAGGACATGATAATAACAGCAGCTAATGTTTATAAAGAGCTATGTCAGAGAGGGTATTTTTATTCTTGGAGAAAGTTCAGGGAGTGCGCTCTGGGCCATATAGCTTCTAAGGATGGAAGTAGGTTTAAACTTGAAAAAGACAATTTCCACCCATGCTGCAAACCACCATATATACTGCTGCCCCTGTTGGTTCCCATCTCTCATCTTCTTCCACTCTCTCCACAGTGTCCGCAGACAGACGACCAGTCGGCCTCCACCAGCAGGTGGCAGACCAAAGCCTCAGCCCAAGCCCAAGCCCCAGGTGCCACAGTGCAAGGCTTTGTATGCCTATGATGCTCAGGACACAGACGAACTCAGCTTTAATGCCAATGACATTATTGATATTATCAAAGAAGGTAAGTGCATGACTGGCTGTACCCAAAGAATATGCAGTTTCTTTGCTATATGACTAGTCTAAACATGAAGGGAATTTATGGGCTTCTCTGACTGAAATGTGTAGAGGCAGGTCAGGCCTGAGGCTATTTGTTCAAGATGCCAGCTTCCTTTTCTTTTTAATGCTTCATTTAGTTCTGCCCTCTTCTTTGTATGTACTCCCTTCTCAAGCCTTTTTTTTTGTTTGTGGTGGCAAAAAGGAAGCAGAATTGCAGGCCATGTATGAAATCTGCCTTACCTCTGAAACTTCTTAACCACTGGACAAAAATCCTAAATTTCAGTCTGATTGGACCAAATTAGTCAGTTGCCCATCCCTCTATCAAGTTCAGTAGCAAGACAAAGACTGTACCCTGAGTGGCTTAGTCCTGCAAGGAATGGCCCTAGAAAATAGGTGGAGGTCTACCCAACCGAAACCTCAAGTTTCCTGATAGTGAAGGTAGATAGAATAGAAGCCAGAGAAGCAGCCTAGAGTGTCCATTGTCAAAGAGGTCCCTGGGCTTGGCTGAGGGCTTTCTTAACTTGGGAGCGAAGATAAGTGTTTATGAAAACATAAAAACCAAAGATAACTGACTTAAGTTGTCAGAAGAGTCCCTATGAAGGACAGTTTGTGGTGAAGGATAGGAAGAGTTCTCTTAGGACAGAGACAGAAAACTCATGAAGACCAGAAAAAGCAGATTAAAGCAAGTTGATCCTTGACCATGATACAGAATCCCCAAAGAGATGTCATAGAGATGAGAAGATGGTAGAAATGGCCTGAGGATAGAAGGTCCTGAATATCAGGCTTCAGAGAACTTGTGAAGACAGTGAGGAGCCATTCATGGTTTATAAACAGAGCCAGCACAAACTGAGTGGACAGTAGTTTGGGGCAAATTTAACTTTCAGGATAGTTCCAGGAATTTTAACAGGTTCCCTCATCACATGAGATCATTATAAGGAGAATTATGGACTCTGGACAGTTTCCCTCAAAATGGCCTCTGAGTGTTATTGTTCTAGTTGTCTACAGGCTTTTTAGTGTCCTCCTCAAAGATATCAGGGTTGAAACAAACTTTTTTCTTTTTGGTACCAGGAATTGAATCCAGGGACGCTTAACCACTAAGCCACATCTCCAACCCTTTATTTTTTGAGACAGGATCTCACCAAGTTGCTTAAGGCCTTGCCAAATTGTTGAGGCTGGCTTTGTACTCGGATCCTACTGCCTCAACCTCTCAAGGCTCTGGGATTACAGGCATGTGCCACTATGTCCAGCTGAAATGAATTCTTAAACACAGACGAAATTTTTATCACCAGGCTTGTTTAGCAAAACTGTTGAAAAAAATCTAATCCAGTAAGGATATTGATTAAATAAGCTGCTATATTCAGTCAGTGAATGTTGATACATTTTTTCTTTTACTAAAGATAATATAGAAGTACACTATTTATTGACATGACAAATGTTCATTAGAAAAAGGAAACAGGTTATAAACTGGACTATAGTCTCATATGTATGTGTGTGAAAATATACTCGTGTGTATATATGAATGCTATACAAAGTGTTAAATACAGTCTTCTTAAGTGTTCAACTTAAAAGTATTACTTTCATTTCTCAATATTTTCCAATTTCTACTGAAATAACACATATTGGTTATAATTAAAACAATTATATATTTGTATATACAATGTATAGTCCTAGAAGTTTTCAAAATATGCTATTAGTTATCACTGTAACTTATGGTATGAGTGTACAGATAGACATCTAATTAAATGAAATAGAGTCTAGACACAGATCACACATACATAGGTATTTAGTATATGATAAATGCAGCATTTTAAACAGAGGGGAAAGAATAGATAATTGCTTTACATTTTGAAGAGAAAAATGAAGTTATATCTCTACCTCATACACAAAATAAGCATCAGATTGAGTTAAAAATCTAAAAATATATGATAAAATTATCAAAGTCATGGAAGAAAACCTAGAACATTAATCTTTGGATGGGAAAAGCTTTCATGCAAGACATAAAACACAAAACCATGCAGAAGTTAACCTCATAAAGCTCACTTGCAACCTTCTATATGTGAAAAGCACCATGAGCAAAGTAAAATATTTGGCAGACCAGAAAAAACATCTTAAACATATAAGTAGCATCTCAATGTGCGTAGCCAAATAATCCATTCCAAACATGGACATAGCCTTTAAGGCAGCAGACAACAGAGCCTCACAGATCATGAGTGAAATGCAGATTCAACATTTCACCTACAACATCAGCAAAGATTAAAATATGAGACAGTCCACATTTCCCCAACCCAGACAAAACGGAAGATGTTAAGAGAGTTAATAACGACATATGTGCTATACATTATATAACAACCCTGTGGGTCAAACTAAACTGAAACAAATATCCACACTCAGTGGGAAGAGACATTGTGAACACATCCATATCGGTCCAGGTCAAGTTTTGCTACCAAAGGAGTTACTGAAAGCTCATTTTTATAACTGTGGAGTGCAGTAAGAATATAAACTCTCATGTTTACAGTTAATCAAGAAAATAGGGGTCTGGGGATATAGCTCAGTGGTAAAGCACCTGCCTAGCATGTGTGAGGCCCTGGGTTTAATCCCCAGTATGACACACACACCAAAAAAATAGATACCCTTCTTAGTAACAGTAGGAGAAATACATACGTATCTTTTTTTAGAAGAAATTTGGCAATATTTACCAAATTCTTGAGGTTGGGGCTAAAGCTCAGTGGTAGAGCACTTGCCTTGCAGCTGTGAGGCCCTGGGTTCAATCCTCAGCACCACATAAAAACAAATAAATAAACAAATATAACTGTGTCCATCTACAACTAAAAAAAAAATTTTTAAATAATAATTACCAAAATTTTAATTCCCCATCAATTAACTACTTTAGATTTATTCTTCATTCCCTATACCAAGATGAATTTCAAATATAAGTAGATAAGTATTAGGCACATGCCTATAATTCTAGCTACTTGGGAAACTGAGACAGGAGTATTGCAATTTTGAGGCCACCCTGGGTAACTTAGCAAGACTTGTCTAAAAAAATAAAAAAGGTTGGGGATGTAGCTCAGTGGTAGAGTACCCACCCCACCCCCCAGGTTCAATCCCCAATACTTAAAAAAAGAGAGAGAAGAAAAGTCCAGAAAGTATGGTATTGTTTTATTAATATCAGTGTAAAAAAAAGGATTTCCCTGGGCTGGGATTGTGGCTCAGTGGTAGAGAGCTTGCTTAGCAAGCATGAGGCATTGGGTTCAATCCTCATCACTACATAAAATAAATAAATAAAGTTAAAAGTTATTAAAAAAAAGGATGTCCCAAAAATTATATAAAAACATTCTATAACAGATCTGTTGATTCAACTATTTAAATATAAAAACAGTATAAAAACATAGGTGACTGGTGGTGTGGCTTAGTGGTTGAGCCCTTGCCTAGCATACACAAGGTCCAGGGTTCCATCCCCAGCACCATAAGAAAAAGAGGGATGTTTGCAATTTTCAAGAAAGCTCAACAAGCAACAGAAAACCAGACAGACCATAATGAACAGTGGAACATTATCAGCTATAGAAGAGAATACAGAAGCTGCTTTTATTTACCACTTAGCTATCTCTTTTCCTCAGGAGCTCTTTGTTCATGGATATGAAATAATTGTTACTATATATTGTTAAGGTTTTTAAAAGTGCAGAACATACAGTATGCTATCATTTGTGTACAAAAGGGGTAATTTTTTAAATGATGACTTACATGAAGTACAAGAAATAGGTAATATATTTTCCCCTCAGAGAAGGGATTTGAATATCTGTTTTCACTGATTGTCCTCTTGAAAGTACGAAAAATAATTTTTTCAAAATAAAGATACTAGGGCTGGGGTTATGACTCAGAAGTAGAGTGCTCGCCTTGCATGGGTGAGGCACTGGGTTCAATCCTCAGCACCACGTAAAAATAAATGAAATATATTCTGTCTATATTCAACTAAAAAAATAATAAAAAATATAATAGGAAGTCTGTGCTCTTTGACCCAGAAATCTATCCTACAGAACTACTTACATGTGGACATAAAAATAGACATATGGCTGGGCACAGTGGCACTGTAATCTCAGCGGCTCAGGAGGCTGAGGCAGGAGGATTGCAACTTCAAAGCCAGCCTCAGCAATATAGTGAAGACATAACCAACTCAGTGAGATCCTAAGCAACTCAATGAGACCCTGTCTTTAATAAAATATAAAAAAAGGGCTGGGGCTATGTGGCTCTGTGGTTAAGTGCCCAAGGGTTCAATCCCTGGTACCAAAAATCCACAATCCCTGATACAAAAAAAATAGATGTATGGACAATGATTGTATTAATAATGAAAAATTGGGAAGAAATGTCCTTCAATAAGGGAATTGTTATATGTAAATATTGGTATATAATGCAGCTGTTAAAAAATTAAGTACAGATATGGAAAGATTATGTCTGTTAAGTTTTGAAGTTCTAGATAAATAGGTATTAATTGGTCTGTTTTCTGTTTTAAATGGATTTGTTCATATTTATAACCACATGGAAAAAGGTCTGAAAGAATATATACCAAATTATTTCTGGTAAAGGGACTGTTAGTCAGCTTCCTGTCACTGTGACAAAAAAAAAAAAAAAAACCAAAAAACCTGAGAAAACAACCTGAAGGAGGAAAGATTTATTTTGGTTTCAGAGGTTTTAGTTCATCATTGCTTGGCCCTATTGCTGTGGGCTTGTGATGAGGCCGACTATCGTGATGGGGAGCACATGGTGGCACCAAACTACTCATCTTATGGCACCCAGAAAGGGAGGGGGCGGGGGAGAGGGAGGCCAGGACAAGATACAACCTTCAAGTGCACACCCCTAGTGACCTACTTATTCTAACTAGGCCCCACCTCCTTAAATGTTCATCAGGCCAGACAGTGGTGCACACCTTTAATCCCAGCTACAGGCTAGGGCAGGAAGATCACAGTTTCAAAACCAGCCTAGGCAACTTGGCAAAGCCCTGTCTCAAAATTAAAAATAACCTCCCAATAGCCCTTTAAATTATGAATTAATCTATTGATGAGATTAGAACCCCATGATCCCATCACCTTCCACATGTCTTACTTCTGAACATGCTACCTTGGGGATCTTTAACACATGAGCATTTTAGATCCAAACCATAACAGGGTTGGAATAAAGATGGGAAATCAAGTGTATGAAAGATCATCACAGACCTGGTTCTCCAGATTCTGAGATAGGTTTAGGAGTGGTAATACCTGTGAAAGAAAAGGGGGAGGAAGCTGGACACCATGACCTGACAAAGTCTCCCAGCTGCCCTGGGCAGGTTTGGCTAGGATGGATCTTATGGGAACTAACAGTTGAAGCTGTCCTCATATCCCTGCTGAAGGTTCTTTCTTCAAAGGGCATCTGAGTGGTACATTTCTGTATCTGCCATGGCGGAGAGGGTCACTTTTCACAACAAACTTTTTCATAATAACACAAAACAAAGAAGTGAAAAGAGTATGGATGAAGTCATTTGAATCACCTCTTTCTCCCCCTGCAGATCCTTCTGGCTGGTGGACAGGTCGACTACGAGGCAAGCAGGGCTTGTTTCCCAACAACTATGTGACCAAGATCTGAGGAACCAGAGACTGACACATGGAGCAGAGGAGCTCCAGGCACAGACAGGGGAGGGGACATTTGGAGACTCCCTTTCTGATCCACAGTGAGCAGTTGCTTCTCCAAGACCTGAAGCTATTCTGGCATCTTTCCCATGGAAGACTCTTGAAAAGTCTGGGTTGGGGACAGGGAGTGTTACTCCATTTATCCTAAAAGGTAGCCTATTCATAGGAACCCAGGAGGGCAAAACAACCACCAAGATTTATTTATTGTATTTAAACCTGGTGGGAAGACAAGTGAGGTCCACTCAGACCTTGTTGGCTTCACAACCCAAAAGCACTCCACTTGCTCACCAGGCCTAGAGATTGGCTATAGATGGCCACTGACAAGTGCCTTTAGTAGAAGAGCACATTTCTTTCATTCCTGTTTTCCATACCTGACACACACATTCCTCTCTGCCACTTTCCTTCAGGGAGGACCCACCCTCTGCAATTTGGGCTTGGTGTGAATAGGCACTTACTGTGCAAATGCCAGGGGCAGGTTGGACTCTGAGCCCTCAGGAGCAGAGGGTCACTGATTTACCTGTGCTGGGGCCATCAGGCTGCAAGGCAGGAAAGGGGCTGGGCACTGGGCTGTCAGCCTTGCTTTCACTAGGTCTTCAATTGGAATGTGGCTGGCCCATGTTGATTATGTTTAATGGTGTACTTATTATAAGAAGGATCTCTTTTTTTCCCAAGCTGTACATTTATAAATCAGATCATATACTGTATATATAAAAATATCAAGATGGTAGAAACATGTATGAATGTACTAAGTAGTATTCCACTGTACTCATTCATAAAGGTAGGCTTTATTACAAAACTCCCATCAGGTACTTTCAGACATGCCTTTTCAACTACAAAAACAGTATCATTGCTTTCCAGGTCGGTCCCCGCAGACCTTTCTTGACCCTTTCACTGTAAGTAATTTTCCTGTGATCCCTCTCTGCAGCCCTCGTCCTACCTCCTAAATAAATAAAGGAATCAGTGAACTGCTTTGTTTTTTCATGTTTGTCATGGGCTCAAATTGATGATGGAGCCAATCCCTAGTGTTGGTTTTCCATTACTGTAACAAATACCTGAGATAATCAACGTAGGAGAAAAGACTTTGTGGCTCAATTTCAATCCATGATTAGTTGAACCACTGGCCCACTGCTTTTGGTCCTGTGGCAGCATAGCACATTGTGGCAAAGCACCTGCTGGAGCCCAGCTGCTCACCTCATAGCAGCTGGAAAGCAAAGAGTATGGGAGATGCCAGGATCCCAATATCATCTTCATTGGCCTGCCCCCAAGGACACAGCCTTCTCCCACTGAGCCCTGCCTCCCAAAGACTCTCCCACCTTCTGAGAGTGCCATGAGCTGGGAATCAGCACCATGATCTAATGGCACCACAAGTCTTCAATACATGGGCCTTTGGGCAATATTATAGTTCCAAACTAGTATTCTGCCCATTCCCAAGAGTCCCAAAAGTCTTAACTGTTCCAGTATTGCTCAAATGTCTCCTCTGAGACTCAAAGCAGAAATTTTTAGCTTTAAGCCCCTGTTAAAATCAGTTACATACTTTTGAGATGCAATGGCACAGGGTAGACATTTCCATTTCAAAAGAGAAGAATAGGAAAATAGCAAGGAGGGACTAGACCAAAGCAAAACCAGAAACCAGCAGGGCAAACATCATATCGTGTAGCTCCATGTCTGGTATTCAGGGCACTAACTGAATGTGGGCTTCAAGAGCTTGGGCAGCCCCACTCCATGGCCTTACACTGTGTCTCACTGGCTGCTCTCTTGGGAGGGCTCTGCATACTTCTGGCACCTTCCTTTAGTAGACATTCCACATTCCTGCATTTCTGCCTTTCAGGGGTCCCATTGATTGCAGCTTTGCTTTGGCTCTGTGAGGCTACTTGCAGGAACTCAGACCCTGCCCTGCACTGCCTGGCATACGAGGTTTTTCTTTGAAATATGGGCAGAAGCCTCCATGAGTGCATACGTCTTCCGTTCTACATGCCTGCAAAACCAGCACCGTGATCTGGTGGCACCATGATCTGCCACTAGGACCTGTTGGAACTGAGTGCTTTACCTGAGTGCACACAGGGAATCAAATTCCAGGGAAACAATTCCTAGACAGTCCTGCAAGTCTTTGAAATGAGTGGCCTAATCCTAAGAAATCTTCAAGACAGCTTTCCAGGGCTGGGGATGTGGCTCAAGCAGTAGCATGCTCACCTGGTGTGCATGCGGCCCGGGTTCGATCCTCAGCACCACATACAAACGAAGATGTTGTGTCCGCCGAAAACTGAAAAATAAATATTAAAAAATTCTCTCTTTAAAAAAAAAAAAAAGACAGCTTTCCTATCGCCCCAGTGCAAAGTGCTTGGCTTCTGTTTAACAGCAACTGCACCCTCCTTGGCAGCACCTTTAAAAGGACTCCTTTCCTAGCCAAACTGCAAGTTTTCCAATTTTTTTTCTACTGTTTTGCTTTGCTCCCGATTGTCACAATAAACTTGATTAAAAGCAGCCAGTAATACCCATGTCACTGCCTGAATAGTGCACTGCCTTGAAATTTTTCTCCACCACATAAATTAATTTGTCACCTTTCAACTGGCCTCCCACAAAGTCTCAGGGCATGGACATAATGTCTTCAAATTCTTTGTCACCATTACTTTTCACATTGCTATCAGCATTTTGGTCTTCTAAGCCCTCAGCAAAATTGCCCATTAGGCTCCACTTAGAGCATTCTAGGTTTTCTCTAGCCCACTGCTCCAAACCTTTCCAAACTCCTCTCATGAACCAATTTCAAAGGATTCTGAATGATATTGTCAAGTATAGTCATAGCAATGACCCTATTTATCAGAGCCAATTTTCTGTGTTAGCCTTTTGCTACTGACAAATACCTGATATAAAAAGAGGTAAAGTTTATGTTGGCTCATGGTTTCAGAGGCTTCGGTCCATGGCTATTAGGCCCCATTACCTTTGGGCATGTGGCATGGCAGCACATCAAGGGAGGAACACTTGGCAGAGGAAGCCACTCCATGACAGGCAGGAAGCAAAAAGCAGGAGAGTCTGGAGTCCCTTTAATGGCACATCCCAATGACCTAACTTCTTTCCACTAGGCTCCACCTCCTAAAGATTCCACCACCTCCTGAAAGCATCACAGGCTGGGGACCAAGCTTTCAACATATGGGTCTTGGGGGAAAATTCAAGATCCAAACTATAACAACCCCAGTACATTAGCATATGACCTTATTTAAAAATAAGGTCTTTGCAGAAGTAACAAAATTAAGATGAAGTTATTATAACTTATAATAATTATAAGGGGCTAAAAGAAGACAATTGTCTACAAGTCAGGGAGAAAGGCCTGGAGCAGATCCTTCTCTCAACCCTCAGGAGGAACCAACCCTGTGGACTTACAGCAATAAATTTCATTTGTTTAAACTACCCAATTTGTGAAACTTTATAAAGATAAACCTAGCAAACTGGTACAATGTTTATTGCAGTAATAATGAAAAATTGGAAACAAGGTAATGTCCATCAGTAATAGAGTGGTTTCAAGAATGACAAGTCACTACCTATTCTCCATTCAGTTGTCATAATCATTGTAAAGCTATTGGGAAATTAAGAGTTTGAGCATCCCTTTATGCTATTTCAGGATTCTCAAGATCGTGGGACAAGATCATAAAGGGCTAACTATGGGGGTGGGGAGATGGATCTAGATTTAGAAGATTAACGTTTAATTCTCTTATATTTACTTCAAGAACAGGGAGTAAACATCATTCCATGACAGTGACAATGTTTATAGGGTATTTCAGTTCTACTTTATGACCAGTTAGGAAAAAGGAAAATACAGCCATGATGTAATGAATTAAGGAAAGGTAATCCTATTGACACTAGTGCTCTCTGTATTTAGAAAGTACCTTCACAGTCACAGACTCCCTGAAAGTAGAAGGAAGGTAGATAGATAGAACAAGAATTGGGACTGGACTTCCAATAGCCACTAGCACAGCACACAGGCTGCTTTCTTGCAGGCAGAAGTGCCAAGGTGGTCCTTCCTTGTTTTCCTTTGACTGGCGTTTTAAATTTGTGTGTAACTGGGAACTCTCAGGCTCTAGGTAACAAAACAGGAACCAAGTTAATACCCTACACACCTGAAAAAAGGAACATACAAGGAGATGACAGATGCAGCCCTCATCACTGTAGCCATTGCCTAGTACTAGGCTCAAGGCTCTTGACTGATTTTGCTTGAATAGGCAAATGGATTCACGTTTACACATGAAGATAGCTTAGATCCTGAAATGGAGAGACTGAAATTCTAGAAAGATTAAAAAGAAAAGTTTGGAGAAAATTGGTTTATTCTTGAAGTTATTTCTACATATTTAGAAATTTAATATGGAGGATACTGGAAAGATAGTGACAGATAACCTCCCCCCCCCCCTTTTTTTTCTGCTTCCCTAATTAAAAAGTCTTCAGAAAAATGCTTTTTTTCCCTTTAGGGTCTTTAATTCATTAACAGGTTTCCTATTGTCTCTGATCTAGTCAGTCCTGCCATTTTGCTCAGTCTAGTTCAGTAATTGGTTCAGGAATCTCTTACCCTGAGATCAAATGGCCATCCATACCTCTCATCTACAAACTGCCATCCTGTGTAAGTACAGGGTGTCCATGTGCACACACAACCCCAGGATACAACAATATCAAACATCAGGTGGAGATGCATCAGATCCCTCCAACCAAAGGCCTAAAGTACCAAGAACCCAATGAGCAATGGCCACCCACCTTGGGTGGCCATGGTGTTCAAACTTCAAAGTCTTTGGTCTAAGAACCCTCTTACATTTTCAATATCATTAAGGACCCCAAAGAGTTAGGCTTTTGTTAGTTGCAGCTATCAATATTTACCATATTAAAAATTAAAACTTGGGCTGGGGATGTGGCTCAAGGGGTAACGCGCTTGCCTGGCATGCTTGGGGCACTGGGTTCGATCCTCAGCACCACATAAAAATAAAATAAAGATGTTGTGTCCACTGAAAACTGAAAAATAAATATTAAAAAATTCTCTCAAAAAAAATTAAAACTAAGAAAAAAAATTTTGAACACACACACAAAAAATCACTAGCCACAAGTAACGACATCACATTCTGTAGCCAGCCCATCTGCCCAAACCTGACTCGCTGCTATTACCAAGTCCAGCATATGTGAAAAGATGATGATGAGAGTCCTTTCCCTTTAAAAGGACATTCCCTGGGAATTGTACACATCGTGTCCACTCACGCTCTACTAGTCAGTATGTAGTCATGTGGTCTCAACTGAAGTGGGGCTGAGAGATGAACACTGAGCTATGGAAGCCACTTACCCAGAGCACCAAAGTTATAGCCTTCTCATAGTCACTGCTCCTTCCAGGCAGAGATGCACACAAGAACAAATGAGAAACGTGGATGTGCATCAATATGACTTACAAACTACTCAATGTCACAGAACACAGCTTAACATATAATCCACATACTTTCTCTCCATAACTCCATCCCAAACTCCTGCCCAGACCACCTGGCTGTGCCTCTAGGCACATGTTTCACTACCTCAACAAGGCTATCTATAAAACCCTCCAATTTCAATACATAAAGATACTCCACACCTCTAAATGCTCAAAACTATAGTTAAAAGCATCCTAGTCAGGCAGCACTGGCCTGCTCAAGAAAGGGGAGTGAAACCATTCTCCAAGGCCAAGGGGATTCATCACAGCTGGGTCATAGGACCTGACCAACACTGCAGTTTTGCTGTGAGGCAAAAGGAAGCTTTCACTGCACCCTAGGCTAGGGAAGTGTTGAGTTAAAAAAGTTTATTGTGAAGTTCAGAGCCTGTATGAATCTTCAAAATTTGCAATGTTTCCCAATTTTATTTGACTAACATATTTCTGTCAAAAACACCAATTTACATCTATGTACCACTTGAGGAACTTCACATTTATGATTTTTCTTTGTTTTTAAGTAGTGGTTGGAGACTGAGGATTCAT